GGCGGGTCAGGAGAGGTCTGCCGCACCATGTGGTCACCTCCGGGTCAGGCGGGGAGGGGCAGGCGGGGATCTAGCTCATGCGGAAGTGGCTTAAGCTTCTTAGTGCTGTGCTTTAACCCGCTGCGCCACTAGGGAGGGCCTCATATTACTTTTTAATGTATTACTTATATAGCGTGTGTTTCTTTCCATTAAATCCGTTATTTTTATGTGTCTCTCTTTCACCATTCATATAAGTGAATGTTCATGTAATGTGTCTTATTTTTTCCCCAGTGTAGCTTCTGGGTTTCCATGCTGGGTTAAGGTATTCCTCATCTCTAGGATGCACATGTTGTTGCCTATATTTACTTCTAAGGTTTTTATTGTTTAAGTTTTTGCATTTGGAATTTGTTTTTGTATACTATGTATTACAGGAGCCTAATTTTTAATTCCATGATTTGTATTGAAATCCCACCTTGTCATATATGAAATTCTCATATATATTGCAGTTTATTTTTGTATTCCTTTTTGTGTCCCCTATTTATTTGTTCAAGTAATTTTATATTCTGTTTTGGTTCAATAGTCTCTTCATTTACACTTAAGTTGGTTTTTCTTTGCCTGTCCTCATATCTTAAACTATTTTATTATTTATTGGTAAGCATGTTTTTTATAAACAGCATCAACTTGGTTTTCTTTATACTAAATTACTTCACCCACACTTAGAAAAACAAAAATATGCTTTATTTTACTTATTTTTGTTGTCACTTTTGTATAGGAATTAAAGGATCCATTCTAGAAATTTTTTTCTTTTGATTTAAAAAAATAACTGTTTTTTATATAACTATTTTAAAATCCCCTTTCCCTCAAATGTATCCAATATTGTGAATATCAGCTGCAATATTATGAATATCAACTGTACTTTTCTTTCATGTCCCATTATTTTTAAATGTTCACAATAATAAAAGTTAGTTATTACTTTTTATTATAAAGTATCTTAGTTTTTTTCTTTTTTTCCTTCTTCATACAGTAAAGCTGTCTGATATTGACCTTTTGACACTCTTACTTTTGTTAGGGAATCAAAACTATAAAAGAGAGAGCCACTACTATTCAGGAGACTCTTATGTACTGAGGGGTTATTAGTAATCACAGCTCAAAGGCTTTTCCCCATTTCTAGACTCTGTTACTGTCTTTGAAGTCTTTTGTATAGAAAAAGTTCTATCATAGGCAAATTGCCTTAGCTCTCATTCCTAATTTTTTTAAATGAAATTTAAAAATCTGTTAAATGAGCTTCATAAGAACCTCATATAGTTATTGATAAGATCACGTTAAGTAAAGGTGTTGAAATAGTACCTAGTACTTAGCTGTATATTTAGCACTTAGCAAATGCAGTATAAAATAATGACTAATACCACCACCATCATCATTATTTTTCTTACTGGGTTTACCCTTTTTGTTTGTTGATTGTGTGTTCAGATGGGCAGTATTGTGTAAAAAATAATCTCTCCAATAATTGATGCAATTGTTTACTAATAAGACATAGTAGTTTCACATATTATTTTCTAGATGGGAAAGTTAAAATTGAGATTATAACACCAAACCCTAGAGGAATATTTGGTGGTTTTTTAATTTACATTAATAATTTTACTCTGTTTTTTCTGTAGTCTTTAAGTGTATAGCCTTAAATAATATATTTTGATGCCTTTTATTACAGTTGCTTTGTGTGTGTGTATATGTACTTAGGTCTATAGAAACTGTATAGTAATTACATAGTAAATTACTTACACTATTTTATTATACACTGTTATATATTGTTAAGATAAAGTGCCCATATATAAAGCTTATAAAATATATATTTTGTTTGTTTTACTCATTTTTTGTTTGCAGTACCTAGAATAGTGCTTGAAAGATAAATGTACATCTAAAGGGAAAGAATGAAATACTAATTTAAAAATAATGTTTTTAGAATTTTATATACATATATGTCTGTTGATATTTTGGCATAGTTTTTAGGCTCTCAGTTTCAATAACTTATTAAAGATAAATTCTTTATCTTTTTTTTTTTTTTTAAAGATTTATTTATTTGTACATACAGAACTGGGGTACAGGCCAGAGGCTCAGGGGCAGTGAGAGGCTTCACCAGAGACAGAGTGGGAAGCAGAACAGGCAGATCGACGAAATGCACTGCTGAGGGGAGCAGCGGGCGGGTCAGGAGAGGTCTGCCACACCATGTGGTCACCTCCGGGGCAGGCGGGAATTGAACTCATGCGGAAGTGGCTTTAGATTCTCAGTGCAGTGCTTTAACCTGCTGAGCCACCAGGGAGGGCCCAAATTCTTTATCTTTTTATGAAAAAAGAGAGTACTAAAACTTTTTGAGCTTTTTTTAGTCTATATAATCATGTTTTACTTTTTTACCCAGTGAGATCTATAATTCCCTTATCAATATTATGGAATATTATAGGAGGGCCTTAAAACTATCTGAATTTACTAGAATAGAGTAGTAGAAAGCTAATGAAAATTTTGGTTTTTTACTCTAATCAGTATACTTCTTTATTTATATACCATTTACTTTTGCCTTTTATCGTACAATGGTGGTGATGGTGGCTCCTTTTGCTAAAAAGCATTTTTAAAATGCCTCAGATCCAATTCCAAGAGGATGCTGTTACTTTTTTTTTTTTTTTTAAGATTTATTTATGCATACAGAGCTGGGGTACAGGCCAGAGGTGCAGGGGCGGTGAGAGGATTCACCAGGGACAGAGTGGGGAGCAGCGGGCCGGTCAGGAGAGGTCTGCCACGCCATGTGGTCACCTTCGGGGTGGGCGGGAATCGAACTCATGCGGAAGTGGCTTTAGCTTCTTAGTGCTGTGCTTTAACCCGCTGCGCCACCAGGGAGGGCCCTATGCTGTTAATTTTTTTGAAAGTTTAACCTTCTGCCTTTTTTTTTCTTTGAGTTCATGATGTGTTAATCCACCCCAAATGCTTAGCTCTATTTTTCTGCAAGTATCTATCGTGCAGTTTTTCTAGTAACATCACACTTAAGTTTGGTCTTTAGTGAAGCCACCTATATAGATATTTCTTGTAATAATTGCATGATTCTGTAATAGCTTTTCTTTAATATTTTTGGAATCTGAAATTGTAAAATAAAATTTTGTAGAACCTTTTCCTATTTTTACATAGTGTGTTGACTGTAATATAAAAGCATAAGGAATTGGAACTGTTAATTCTATATCAAAGTAGAATAAAACAAAATTGTAAATATAAAATTCTTTTGTCTGCAAAAGTATATTTACCAGTGTTTGCTAAGAATAACATAGGTAAAAGCAAGTAAATTGTTTTTGAAATCATGATGAAATCCAGTCATTCCCTTTTTTCTCTGTTGTTTACTTTCAAAGAGTTTTTTGATAATGGTCCTGAAATGAAGTTGCCATGTTTCCAGAGGTGATACTAAATAATAAGTTCTTGCTTTAAAGGATTCATATTGAAGGGTCCTATGAAACAGTTTCAGAGCCAATCATGTCTAATCACTCCTAGTACTTGAATATAATGAGTTTGGAGTGTTAGCCTAATTTCTTCCTAGACTAGCAGTTGGTGGTCATGTATGCACTAGAAGTTTTAGGAAAGGTAGTTATTGTGCTTATGAATTTTTTTATTTGTATTTGTATTGTCTCTTTTGATGTAAGGTATTTCAAGATGAATATAAAGACGGTTTCTGTTTCTAGCTAACCCATGTTCTTAGTCATTGTGGTATTGAATACTATGTGACTTGTAGGATTTTTTTTTTTAACAGTTTATTTTACATTTTTACATTTTTTTTCCCATCTCAATTTTAGTCCCTATGGGTTTCCTATCACCAAGTGTGACTTGTAGGATTTTAAACCTCAGCTATTATTTTTACTTTAGAAAGGAATAGGCTGCAAGTGTGATAAACAGAACAAAACACAACTTTAGGTTGATTATAATAATAAGGAAAAGTTTGCTTTCATTTAAAGCCCTCTAAACAGAAGTCATACTATGTAAATATGGGTATCTACTGGAGGGTTTGATGGTGGTTTTATGTGAAAAGATAGTCTTACCATTAATAAATAGGCTTAATATTTCTCACCTTATATAAGTGTAGTGGTTTAATTAAAAGGTAATTGGGTAGGTGGCTGGCAATTATAATAGTCCTTTGGATTCACTATTATTGCAAGCAGTTGTCATTTTCTATAATCTTTCCCAAGTAATTAAAAAACAAATTGACCTGTTTGAATTTTTAGCTTAAAGATAGTTAAATGTAAACAGGACGATTATATAGGTTAGTCTCTATTTTAAAGCGCCAGTTAAAGTTTAAACACTACCTGTAGCAGAGCCAGTAAACTATTTATGCTAATGACAGCTGTAGTATTTGAAATGAGCAGCAGTCATTGAAGGATCAAGAACAACAAAGGTTGTTCTTGAAGTGTTTGAAACATTTGATTCATTAATTAATGCATCTTTGCTTGACCTAGGTGGTAAGTACAGTTAGGGAAGCACAGCATATATCTTAAATTGGTTTCTTCTTTGGGTATAATTTCTGACCAGAATTGGCCAGAAATAGTTTCTTCCAGATGTCCTGTTTTGTGGAAGCTTGCGTCTAGTTTAGGGTAGGTGGTGTGAATGCATTCATAGACTTTGGTTTTGTAAAGATGTCTAGTTACTGTTCCTCTACCTTCCCTTAGCACTGTCTGGACAATAAAACCTCAGATGTTTTAATCATATACCTCTGAAGTCCTTAATATACATTATCTTTATTCATAAACTAATCCTTTCAGCATACTGCTTTCTGCACATACATACACACACACACACAGTAGAAATTCTGATTCTTCAGTCTATCTACTTTCTCAAGTTCTTCAGTCTTCTCATCTTTACTTTTTCTGTTCATGTTAGTTTCCATGATCCATCTTTCTAATCATTACCTTGTTAGTGCTCTGAAGTTATTACCTATCTTTCATCTTGCTCTGGTAAATTTGAACTAAAGATGAAACTTATTTATACAAGCAGGAGAAAAATCATGCAACTTGGCAGACTGGTACCTCCACGGTGACCTCAGCTACTATCTGATGCTCATGTTCTCATCATATTTTGCTAGTTACTTCACATTCCTACTCAGTAACAACTCTAGATTACTGTCCTCTTTTCAAACTTGGCCTTCCTGCTGTTTCCTAGTTCTCAGTTAATGATTCAAATAGAAGTAATCAAATTGTACCTAATCATATTTTCCACACCAAATCTTTCAAATTGCCACAGTGCTTCTAGTCTTCTCAAGTGTATTCTTCACTGTTTTTAATTCCTGCCTTTATTGGATCTTTTCATTAGCACTTAACTATATTGTAATCTCTCTCCAAACACATTATTGAAGTCTCTGCAAACTTGTTAAGTTCTGCATTATTTTGTAGTTATTACCCAACCTTTCTCCCTGTTACAACCATTACTGTACTTGACTTTACTTTTACACCTCCCATTTATTCTTCAGCAGACTCCAATCTGTCTGTCACCCCTTATTCCAAAGAAGTAGCTCTCAGACATCCGTATTACCAAATCAGTGGAAAGTATCTTGTCCTCATTTAATATTGTTAATATTTCTGCTTTGAAACTTTGTTCAATCATCTTTTCCAGATTTCTTAGTTTTCTAGAGCTGTAGGTGTTGGAGTTTTTTTATTCTGTCTTGTCTCCCTTAAAAATTCTCATGCTGCGACCTTATTTACCATTTCTATATTGCTAACTCTCAAATTTACATCTTTAAGTATTCTGTTCTGGTCTTAAGATTTTTATTCCCAGCTGTGTACTTATTTTGTAGGAGATGGGCACCATAAATTCAGCATCTGCAAGACTCTGTTCTTCTTACTCCAAACTGACTTCAAATATTCCTTTTTGATTAATGATAGCCCTTCTTTGTTTTGGCATCAACCTTGGAATCATTTTAACCTCTCTTTTATTCCATGTGTACAGTCTTTAAACAAGTTGTGTTAAATCTATGCCTTATATCCTGATTCTGTTTTTTCCTTCAGTTTTAGGCATGTCTTATCTATGTTTTTATCATCTCCTCTCTTTTATTTTTTTGTATTGATAAAGCATTTTAATGACATTAAGTAAATTCATTATAATAGATTCTAAGTTTTCAAAATGGTCCTTAAACAAGTAGACTTATACCTGATTATCCACATAACAGTAAAATTAAAATTAAAAGTAATTTTTAAATTAAAAAGTTGTAATTTTAAAAGACAGATCTCTATATACTTCTCTTCTTAAAATACTGTAGTAGCTTTCTGTTGTATAATAATATCCAAATACTTTAATGCTCCTGAATGATCAGACTTCTTCCTTCTCCTTTCCAGAGAAATAAGATTTCTCTGTTGTCCCCATTCTAGCCATCTTAGCTGTGTTTTTACTTGAGCCTAAAAAGTCTTTCTTGACTCAGGGGCTGTGTACAAATGATCACTGTGGCCCTCCCTGGTGGTGCAGCGGGCTAAAGCACAGCACTAAGAAGCTAAAGCCACTTCCACATGAGTTGGATCCCTGCCCCGGAGGTGACCACATGGCGTGGCAGACCTCTCCTGACCCGCCTGCTGCTCCCCTCAGCAGTGTACTTCGTGGATCTGCCTGTTCTGCTCCCTACTCTCTCTGGTGAACCCACTCACCCTCCGCATCTCTGGCCTGTACTCCAGTTCTGTATGAATAAATAAATAAAATCTTAAAAAAAAATCATCACTTGTGCTTGAAATGTTCTTTATAACTTTCTTCGCTTTGCCTTTTTATTTATTCTTTAGGATCCAGTATAAATTTCACTTTCTTGGTGATACTCCCAAGACTAGCTTAAATAATTTTGACAGCTTTCTTTTCTTTTTTATTATTTACCACAATTATGACTCTTAGGTGACATTGCTTTCATCTCTCTCCTCACCTAAAGAGAACAATGACTGGTTATCTTTACCACATACAGGGGTTTGGCTCATAGCTAAAACTTTACATGGTATTTTTGAATGAACTTGAATGATTTAATACCTTTCAACAAAATGGAACAATGGCACATAGTAAAACTAATTTATTTTTTGTAGCATTTCATTTAGATAGAAGAAATTCACCACCAAATAGTTTGACACCGTGTCTAAAGATTCGAAATATGTTTGATCCAGTTATGTAAGTATTGTGATTAGAGGTATATGTCATTTTTATTTGGAATATTAGACTGATAAATGTATGATATTCTTATGATACTATGTCTAAAATCGAAAGGTTATTTTTCCAAGCAAAGACACATATACAATGATTTGTAAAACTTTTATGAATCTTCATACAATTTCTGCTGACAGTCTTTGCCTCAATGGGTGATATATATTAAAATATCTGTTACTAAAAAATTTTCAATCTTTTTATTGTAAAAAATTATCCATAAAGATATGTGCACCTTTCCTTGTACGCGTTGTGTCTGTTTGTCCGTGTAATATTTGAGGAATTTTTGTGTCTATATAATTATAAGCAGCATATGCATCTAGAGAATAGTGTAGTCAAAGTTATTACTTCCAGATCTGTTTAGATGCTGTAATTTCACATACAAGCTGTAATAATCTTTAGAATTTGCTTTTTTAGAGGTCACTGCTACTTGTCCAATGATAGGCCAAATTGTTTTGTTTTTTAAATACTGACAGGGGAGATTGCATTGTTTTCATATAACTGAACTCCCATCTAATAGCTCATTTTTTTCAGTTAAAAGTTGGTATGAGATTCCAAATAAGTGACAGCGTATTGGAAATGTGGGGAAGCACAGTCACTATATAAATATACCCTCGCTCCATTTTACAGAGGTTAGAAACAATTAACATTATGATGATCCCTTTGTTGGGAGCTTTACATCATGCCTTAGGGATTAAGAAATCAGTGATAGTCCAGGATTTACTTACCTAAAATGGAAGATTTACCATTTAAAGACTAATCACTCTTCCCTTTTGGCACACTATATCTTGTAATACAAATATGCCTTAATTGATAGTAAAATCACTTTGTGTAATATGTTTGTTCTGTTTTACTCTTCCATTATTTTATAAAAGAGAAACTCAGAATATACTATTTACCAAGAATTTTCCTTAAGTTCAAGAATTTGAAAGTCATTAAAAATAAAATAATATTCAAATTTTACAAGTTCACAACTTAAGTCATAATTAAAGATGAAAAAAGAAATGACTATAGGTACCTAGGATTTTAAATATAAAAATGGTAGCCTCTTTGCGCTGCTGTAGTGGGCTGATCTTTCATTGCCTCTTTTGTGGATTTAAAGTTAGAAAGTGCTATTTTGAAAGAAAGAAAGACTTCTGATGCTAGTATTTTTTAAATATATGGACTTCTGATAGCAAACATTAACTTACTATTAATTTTAGCAGTATGTGGCTTTTAAATTGTCCCATTCTTATACACTATAAATATGAGACAATAAAATCATCCTACTGAGTAGGAATATTATTGTTGATTTTTTTTTGTCTTCCTTCAATTTTCAGGGAAATAGGGGACCAGTGGCATTTGGCAATTCAAGAAGCAATTCTAGAAAAATGCAGTGATAATGATGGCATTGTTCACATTGCAGTCGACAAAAATTCACGTGAGGTAAAGTAAATTTTTATATTTAATTCTTTGTACTAGAGTTGTTGCTATTAAACTAATACTATTTTTCTTTCTTTTTTGAAAAATATCACAGGGTTGTGTATATGTTAAATGTTTGTCTCCAGAATATGCTGGAAAAGCTTTTAAGGCATTGCATGGCTCTTGGTTTGATGGTAAGAAATTTGAGTATTATAAACATTTTGAGAAGATAAACAATGACTTACTGTTAAGTTACAGTAGATTTTAAATTAAGGTAGAATTTTTGGATTGATAATTTTGATGCTTTTATTTGCATTTTGTGTTCATTGTTTAAATACTAAGGATATTTTATATATCTTAAATATTATTTTTATTTTACAACAGGGAAGTTGGTTACAGTAAAATATTTACGACTAGATAGATATCACCATCGCTTTCCCCAAGCTCTTACTTGCAACACTCCCTTGAAGCCATCAAATAAACATATGAACTCTATGTCTCATCTCCGTCTTCGGACTGGCCTCGCCAATTCTCAAGGAGGTTCCTGAAAAGACTTTCTTCCACTCCTAGAACTGTTATTTACCATAGGGAAAATTCCTGTTTGGCTTCCTGTCTTCCTTTTTAAATGCTTTTTTGTATGTAATATTTTTATTGAATACAGCTCTGTTTAAACGTTCCAGAAATCTTAAGGTTCCAAAGGGACTTAGCAGTGAGGCAGCAATGCTGAGTAGATAGAATAATTGTTTTGTTCAGTTTTTGGAGCTCAGTAAAGGCAATGCATTTAAAGTTTTGCATGAGGAACATTGACTTTATTAAGCATTTTCAAATGTGGTGATTGTATTTTTGCACCAAGAAGTGTTTGGATAACCACACAAAAGCATGGGGAAGAGGCTTCTTGTATTTCCATGATTTCCTGTGAACTAATGTTGTGAATTTTTGTATGCAGTCACCTCCATAATTCCTTACAGGCTAATGTGGTTAAACTGTTTATTTCCCAATTTAACCTTAGATTTCTATTGCTTGTGAGAGATTAATTTGCTACAGCTGGAATATGGGAAAATTAATTTGGGTTTAGTGGTTACATATAAGTATACGTGGATGTACATGTACTTAAATTGGCTTTTGTATATATGTATAAATGCTGGTGGTGGCAAAAGTAGTCTTGTTTTTTGAGGATATCTGCAAAAAAGCAGTAAAATAAGCTTCCTATTTTATTCATAATCTAATGTGTATATATATGTATGTGTATATATATGTATGTATGTATATGTATGTGTATATGTGTATATACACACACACACATATATACATGTGGCTGTGCTATCACATAGATCAATCAGCCGCACACCTGGAAGTATTAGATACAAGTTTAAAATAACTTTTATAGGTTTTATATAAAAATGTCTGAGTATGATTTTTGTGTAAAAGTTCTGATACCAGTCGTATAGATTCAAATTTATGTGAGCAATAAAGAAGCAATTGGCAGATAATGGTATTTTGTGAAAAGCTGTATTTATTATAAATACGAGGGCTGTGGCATAGTACCATTGGGATTAAGTCATTTCCCAATCTTTATAATTTAAGGAAATGTTCACTTCCCTGTTATATGTCAAATTTGAAGCAGGGCACATTGTTGCAGCAAATTGTGTATTTAAAAATTATATTTTTAATTTTGGGTCATGAAGGTTTGCAGTAGAGTAAATGCACGAGTGACGTGCATGAGTGACCATCTCTTTGTGCCTCAGCATTTACTTTGTTTGAATAAAGTTATTTTATTACTGTTTTTGATTTCAGATTAAAGTAGTTGCTGAGCAAAGTTTGCTTGTAATGTAACAATTGGCATTTTGAAAAAATAACCTGTTATATATCATTGTTAGTCCAAATGAATATGTGAAACAGCTGGAATAGTATCAATTTTGAATTTGTTTAAAGCTCAGTTTCCTTTTAGTTTATGTGTTGGGTTTGCAGCATGAACTTGCACAGATAATGCACGTTTTCTGGTTAAGTAAACATGATGCACACTGTTCTGTAACAGAAAACCCTATTGTGCCTTACCTATGTGCTTTTGTGGGCACCATGTTTATGAAGAATAAAAAATGATTTGTTATCCGAAGAGAATAAATTTTAAATTCTCAGTGTATGTCTCAGATGCTAAAGTGTGAAAATATAAATATATATATATATAATATATATAACATAACCAATCTTTCTGTATTTTATGTGCATCATAGTGATTTATCTGAGCTTAGTGACCCCATCTTGTGACCTGTTGCAAGAGTGAATGTATAAAATAGTTGTGGCATTTTATTTAAAAGGTCGCCTTTTGATGCAGATGCATCTTTTTCTCGCTTCTAAAATATATTTCATGTAAACACTGTACATTTATTATTGTAATATATACAATTATGCAGCTTATTTTACCGGAAACTGTTAAGCTGACCAAGATCCTTCCCTGCAAGACAGATGGGAATGTGTATAATAACTAGATATTTGAGAAGTTCTGAAGTTTGATGTAATCTGTTACTTGTCCTGTTAAAAAAAGGAAAAAATTCTAATTAAAAATTTATTAGGTTTTTTTTTTTAATGTGTCTTGGCTTTTAAAAACTTTTTAAGTGCCCTGTGTCCTTATTTTTTAAACCAGTGAAGAAAATAGTTTGAAGATCTTTAAATATTGGTATGTTTATAAAGATGGATGGGGAAAAAATGGACGGAGATGTGGAAGTTAATTTTAACAATCCATACTTCATTGAATGGCTTCATCTAATTCTCTAGTGTTTGCATCTAAATGGGTTAACAACATGTAAGTCAGCTCTATCACTAAAGCATGGATTAGTTTAGCTGTTTTTTCATAGCATGGCCTCCTTGAGCAAATAAAACATTTTTTTTACACATTGAAACTCCTATCATCATAAACAGTTTATGGGCTTGCTTAAATGTCCTCGTTTTAGACACATATAAAGATGACTAGTTAGTCATCGGGGTAGACTTTTATTGCTAACAAATGTCCGCAATGTTATGTGTTAGGAGAATCAAAGATGGACAAGACATGGCCTGACCTCAAGATGACCAGACTTTGAAGGAAAGAACAAGGGCCAGATAAGTTAAAAGATAATACAGGAGGGCCCTCCCTGGTGGCACAGCGGGTTAAAGCACAGCACTGAGAATCTAAGGCCGCTTCCGCATGAGTTCGATTCCCGCCTGCCCCGGAGGTGACCACATGGTGTGGCAGACCTCTCCTGACCCACCCGCTGCTCCCCTCATCAGTGTACTTCGTCGATCTGCCTGTTCTGCTCCCCACTCTGTCCCTGGTGAATCCTCTCACCCTCCACATCTCTGGCCTGTACCCCAGTTCTGTATGTACGAATAGATAAATCTTTAAAAAAAAAAAAAGATAATACAGGAAATAGAGAAGAAAATTGCAGAAGAAATTCTGGTAATACAGAAAGGCATCTGATATACCCTAAGTAAATGGAAAAGAGGGTAGATGAGGTAATAGCTGAGCCATATTTTAATTCAGTTTAATATTTATTAAACACTTTTTAATTAATATACATACAAAGAAAGTCTCCTTTCCATGAGCTCTCAGGGAAGCTTCTATTCTTGTGATGAGCTTATAAAATTAATGTATGAAACACAGGTTATTATAGAACCCATTTTCATACCCTTTGGTCTGCCGATAACTGCATATGATGTGAATATTGACACCTGATAATAGATTTGGTTATATATTTCTTTGTATGATGTTCACTGAATGACAAATTGTAATTTAAATGTCAGCACTGTTTTGTGCTCAGAATATTTTCTCTTAATAAGATTTAGTTTGCAGTTCTCCATCTCTGGAACTAGTGATAACACTGCACAACAGTCACCTACATGGCTCATTTGCCCTTTTTTCCTAGACCTATCTCAGGAAGTCACTTCCAGATGACTAAACAGAGGATGCCAACTCAAGCAAAATTTTGGCAGTTCTGATTTTGGAAAGGATGCTCAAAAATGGGTACTTAAAATTGATAATAGGGCTTCCCTGGTGGCACAGAGGATTAAGTCTCAACACTATGAAGCTATTGGGTAGCCACTGCAGCATGAATTTCATCCCCAGCCAGGGAACTAATCTATGTGGCACAGCAGATCTCTCCTGTCTCCCTGCTCCTTCCCTCAGCAAGTGGATTTCAGGATACCTGCTTGATCTGCTCCCCACTCTGTCTCTGGTGAATCCTCTTCCCCTGCACCCCCTCACCCCACTTCCCTCGCAACCCTGGGCTATACCCCAGCTCTTGAATGCATTTTTTAAATATTATAATAGCCACATGCAGCTGACATTGCCAGTTGACAATGCAGGTATAGAAAGAACAGCCTGTACTTCTCTAGCTAAATCTCAGTTCTCACTCAGCCATTGAACTTCAACTAAACTGCACTGCTTCCTTTTCCCAGACCTAATGAATGTCTCCCAGAGTTGTATGTCTAGCCTTGATTGTCTTCTAGGTTCAGACTTACATTTTCAGCTTACTACTTGATCTCCATTTGGATAACTGAAGGTTCTTCAAATGTTATACACCAGAATGAAACTGATTTCCATGCTTTGATTCCAAATACATATCCACTGCTTAAGCTGAGAACTTAGTTCTTTTTCTATATTCTGTTAGCTACTAGGTCCTTTAAGTCTATAAAATATATGTAACAACACATTGATATTTATTATCTCCAATCTACCCATTCTCCCCCTCTAATCTCTTCTCTTGATGCTATCATTATGTCTTTCCTGGAGTGCTGAAGTCTGACATCTTGGTTCCTGCTCAATTTTCTGTGCAGGAATCAGTTGTCTTCAAAACACATCACTATCTAAAATAAAATCCTCTAGTATTCATTATTCATTAAAGTCCAAATTTCTTGTCCTTCAAGGCCTGTGAACTGGCCTATCTCTTCAAATATTTCTCTTGTCATGCCTCTGACTTTGTACACCTACTCTGGTCTGCTTTTTTTTTGACCCAATGCATGCATTTAGGGTCTTCATACTTGTTCTCTGCCTGAAATACTAGCCCCCGGCCTTGATCTTCGCAAAACCGTCCAGGTTTCAGCTCACCTCTTAACTCTTCACAGAGCACTTCCCTGACCACTCAAATTGATAATTGATCGCTCTCTGAAAATATCTTGTGTGTTTATTGCCTGTATACCTTGCTTTGATATAAATTACCTAAAACTAGGGTCTTATTTTTGATGCTTACTAGATTTTTTTAGGGTCAGTGTGACTTAGATTAGTAGTTTTTAGGGGCCTCCCTAGTGGCACAAGTTAAAGCACAAACACCTCCTTGGCCAGGGAGCTGACCCACATGATGTAAGCAGACCTCTCCTGTCTCGCCTGCTCCTCCTCTTCTCAGCAGTGTACTTCAATCTGCCTGATCTGCTCCCCATTCTAATAAATCCTCTCACCCTCTGTACCTCTAGACTGTACCCCAGTTCTGTATGCAGGAAAAAAAAATTAGTAGTTCAGCCTGCATTTGTTGCATCAAATAGCATTGATACACACATTTTAAAAAAACAAACCTGTTCTGGGTCTAAAATAAGCTTGTATTTTGGTTTAGAGAGTTCAGTTTGATCTGAATTATTTTCTATTTGTCTGCCAGTTATTAAGAAAAGTGTATTAAAACTTCAACCATTATTGGGGATTTACCTCTTTTTTCCTTGCAGTTCAATCAGTTTTTGCTGTATGTATTTTGAAGTTCTATGATTAAACTTTTATGATGTTTAATCTCTTTTCACCCCTTTATGAAATGGTGAAATGGCCATTATCAATATATCCATATAATGTTATTTGCTCTTAATTATATTTCATTTACTTGTCTGATATTAATTTGGTTGTTCCAGGTGTTTTTTTTTTTAGCTAGTATTATACAATATATTTTTCCACCATTTTAAACTAGCTTGTGTTTTATATATTGCAAGTATGGTTTTTTAGGCAGTATTTAATTAGAAACTTTTTATCCAATCTGATGAACCTCTAAATCCCTGCCTTCTAATTAGGGTATATATTCTCACATAATATGATTTGGTTTAAACTTAGTCTGTCCTATTTGTCTGCCAGTTATTAGTCTGTCCTATTTGTCTGCTATTTGTCTTCTGTTGTTGTACTGATGTCTATCTGATCTTTTTTTTTTTTAATTGGTTGTTTCAGATAAAAAGATGAACTTAATCCCTGTTACTCCATCTTGGCAGATAATGATAATGTAAATCTCCAGTTACTCTGGAAAAAAAGAACCTTGGTTC